CGTTAATCGCTACACCAATAAGATGCGTCCAATATTCATGGCATCTATTTTTTCTTGGCCGCTTACACCATGTAAGTCCGTCCATGGTTGAAGTTGTTATGTAAACTCGCCTCGGCAACTAATACGTGATGCGTAGCAGGTGCTTGTCTTTGCATAAATTAAGGGAAAGTCTTGATTCTGAGCTATTCTGGGCCTCTTCGGCCGTAAATCGACATAGCTACGTCGGGAAATACGGTACGCAATTTACTACGAAAGTAAATTTAGTACACCTTGACCCTTAAGCTTGCTTTGCTGTGCAAAACAAATAAAAAAGAAACAACCTCCGAATATAAGGCGGTCTCAAAATACACACAGTGCCAAAAGCGAATAATTAGTTTTGGTTTTGAAGACAAAGCCTTCGTACACTTTAAAATACCGTGAGTCGCCTTAAATGACTTATCACTTGAGAATAATTGACCCAATCCGCTTTTTCTCCATTTTAAAGAGTTTTTATGCAAAAAAACCGTCTCTTTGGGAAAAAAGTTGGAACTATTCGGTCTCCGCGTGAATGTCGAATTCTTCCTTATTTTCACATGACAAAAGCCGCAATTCTATTGTTTTCCAAACAAGGGGTTGAGAGCTTAAGTCGTTACCTGCAGTTAGGCGGTGGGTCGAGCGTTATCTCCGCCAATTCTCTCTGAATTCTGTAGAGAAAACACAGCTATTTATTGAGGAAATAAATATTCTAAAGACTAACTCCTACTAACAGAGCTGATAATTCCAATTTTCATCTGTTTAATGCAAACAAAGATAAGGTCTTTCGTCAATATAAGCATCACAAACGCCTTGGAGTCGTGTTCGCAGACTGGCGCTTCCTTTCGTTGAATGAAAGCATTTTGTCTCAATTTGATCACAAGAGGCGATTATTACAAATATTCGCTACAGATCAAAGCATTCGTGGATGCCAAACACCGCGTGATTAGCGCGCGCGGGCAAGGAAAAGTTAACATGCAAATTAATCATGAAATTGAGCATCAAGTGAACACGCTCAGTTAGTTACACGCAACTAAGAGAAGCACGGAGCGAGACAAGGGTCTGCCCAACACAGGCACTATGGTGAACTCGGTGTACTCCCAAAAATATAATTAAGATAAGACTGACCCCTTAGTTGATGTAATGTGTCTCGTAATACAGCCTCTGTAGTTTACCTTTTCACAGCAGTAGATAAGGTCTTTGGTGAGCGCGAAGTACTCCCCTTCTTCAGGTCTCTCTTTAAACTGGGCACCCTCGTCTCATCTGACTCAGCTGCAGGACGATTTGCTTGCTCGGATGACCGCCCAGACATCTAGATACAAACTATATTTAATAAACATAGCATAGTTGAGGCTTTCCGTTAAAGTAACGCAGTGAAATTGTTAAAGCTTAGTGGAGTTAAGTTCATTAACCGCGATCCAAGACCGAGAGGGCCGCCATTTGCAAAGTATTTCAGGTATGTCCGATACTCAGCGCGAAATTGGGACCACATCCAAGCTAGGCTAGCTAGCTGCAATCCAGAGATGTTTTCAGAGAAATTCCGAGTAACTCTGACGATAGAATAGGCAATTCAAGATTGAGGACAGGAGTGAACAAACATGGCCGCCCTCTAGATGTCAGTTCGACTAACTCCATTGTTTGTCAAACGACCGAAATACAATTCCAGCCTCGACAGATCCTATACCTTGACAATCACAATAAACTGAGGTGTATTTCTGGCAAATTTAAGCCTCGTTCGACGGAGCACTGCCGTGTAAGAGGAGTAGAAAGTTAGAGCTTACAATTCCAGCCGTCATGTAAGGCGTCACAAATGGCCGTCTGCCCCGAGGATGTTTAGTGTTTCCGCCTGTCAACACGACGTCATCAATTAATTAATGAAATAGCGTGAACACATACTAATTTAGTTCACAGAAATACAGGCCTAAAAACAAATTATCTAGCTGGTAAAGGATTTATTACTGACTACACACAGTATCGCTTGTCCCCCACAAACTCTTGTTGGGAGTTATTTCAGATTTGAGATATCTTCCGACCCAACGTCATTATCACCACTTCACATGTTACGTCACACATCGCAGGCCGGCTTAGACAGATAAATTTTAAACCTCTTAAAGGGGATTGCAGATCTTATTTTTTCTGGTTTAAGTGAAGCACAATATATATTACAGTTGGTTCCTCTATATATCAATCTGCCATGTCATCATTATGAGCGTCAGTTGCTTCACTGACTCGTCTACTCTTCGATACTGAAAATGTTTGTCGCCAAAAGATTACTCCGTCTAGAAACTTAAGGCTTTCTTTCGCATACTACAGCAAAAGCCTGAAGAGCGACCCACAGTTTAATTGGTAATACTACTTGAACAGATTTCAATATTTAATTCAGAAGGGATGGTTTTTTTATTTTCTCAAACATCTGTCACGAATAGAAAAACAAATAAGTTTGTTAAAAGAATTGAAAGTGAAACATGCCTGCGAGTATTTTGTTTCTTCATTGCTGTTTCTTATGTAAAATTATCATGTTATCGGAATCAGGTTTCGTAAAGACACGATTGTGGTTATTAATATCATTCAGTACTAAACTTTAAAGAGCTTTCTTGAACGAGTAAGCGCGAGGCCCAAAGTTCTGTGATGTCTGCCATGAATTCAATGGCACCAGCTAAAACAAGAAAAGAAACTCTGGTACCGATTTTGTTGGGTAATTTTTGCACCCGCAGAAGACGATTCAGATTTGTACAGCGTACAAGAACACCGTTTACCAGCATTTCTTCGGCTGTTGATGATATTTTTCCAGGTGTCAATGGCGCAAGCTTAGGGAATTATCGATAATTTTCCCAACCGTTCTCGTCTGGTTTCCGGCAAAACAAGCTGGAACAGCAGTGGAAACATAAATAAAAACGGAGAGGAAGAATACTTTGGAACTGGGCCAATTTTTTTCGAATCAGCATTAAGTTTAACCAACGAATGTAAGACTTTTTGTAAATTTCCCACTTCTGTATTCTGCTGTCTGGCAACCGACTTTATAGACGTCCATAACATCACCCGCCGCAACCGTCTTCCCTGCAAAATTATTCTTTTGTGTGAAATGTTAACCAAAATAAACCACAAGCAAATAGCAAACAAGATTAAACATTTTTTCGCAATTGTCAACTCAGAGCTTGTTAGATGTGATTAATGTTGGTTTATTGTCCTGCTTGCTAGGCTATTTTAGTGAATGTACCAGATTTTTAAGAGTCCGTTTCGATCGGTATTTTATTAACTTAAATGAAAATTCAATTTGCGATGATTTTGTAGATTAAACTGTGTTACCAGAATGCAGATAAATGTTACAACAAAGATTTTCAATGTCACTTTAGAAGAATACTACGTTTATCTAGTATTTAGTTTTATTTATTTATATTGGAAGCCATCAAAAAAGATTTTCAGTCATCCGTCATCACCGATGTTATATTGTGGCCCGCAAAATCATTTCAAAACTTTTAAATTAGTACAGTTTTTGTGTGTTTTCACTGTGTATAAATGTAAAGCTGTGTATCACTCATCCGAAAGACACTTAGATTGATTCATCATGTTCAAATGCCTCCCCTATTAAAACGGATGTGAAGTACTGTATGTCATAAATGTTTAATGACCTCGGCAGTAGCAAAATTTGCATACGTCTCTTCAAAATGCCGTTTGAATTCTTGAACAATACAACTTTCTGTGCAATGTTTGCCCGGGTACAAGAGTATAAAACACTAATCTTGTAATTAATAGTTCATTATCTGCACTAATCGGAGAAATAGATTCATTCTTCGTAGACCCCTTGGGAATTCGGTAACTTCTCGAGCGTATAAGTCAGCGAAGCGTAAAAACTTTAATAGCACTTTGAACAAAGACAAACATCTCATTTAACTCGACGCAATACAAGCATTGTTTAAACGGTTATTAACAACTATGTACAACAACACTTCGACAAAACAGCTAAGGCTGTTTTTTGTTACATCTATTGAAACCCTATGTGGCTTTAAGCAAATATGAATTGTCCTTTCTCCTTCATAAATTCAGGACAGCGATACGCGAAAACGGCAAAAAATGAAGTCGCTTTTCAATAGACAGTAAGCTCGATAAGTCAAGAGTTTAAAGTCTTGTAATCATAAATGCAAACCACATTACTTTTTGATTTTTGTGTCTGCTGCTCGAAGTGATATACGAGTAAGGCAGGAAAATCAATTCCTCACTCGTACAAATTGTACGTTTAGCCAACACATTGTACAAAATGAAAACTTTCGTTACTTACTAATAGATTTTGTTTTCGGGTGGGAAAAATAACTGAAATAAATTAAATTTCTGGGTAATTTTTTTGAAACCGCAAGAACACAGTTTACAAACTTTAAAACAGGGTTCTATTTCTCATCAATTCGCCAAATTATCTGCTATGGTACCAAGAAGTGCCATAGGGTTCGAACGATTCGGAGGTTGGTCGGCGTTATAATAATATCCCCTGCTTTTTGAGACTGCAAAAATTGCGACCCATGCAAACTTCGTAACCTGTCAGCAAATTGGTAAAACCGGGATTAACATGCAAAGTGTAAAGTTTCAAGGCTTCAAGGTGAATGAGGGGTTCTGTCCCCAATGGAGAAGAAGGCAGAATCGCTTTCTTCCGTTCTTTTTTTTTGAAAATGGAACATTTGATCGTTGCAAATCTTTCTTTCAAATCTTAGTTGCTAGAAGACTAACAAACAAAGATCTTGTGCCAGTATATTGTATCCACCATGCAGGGATGCCAATCACGGGGATATGGCAATTGTTTTATTCCCCTGGGAAACATCGACAGCTGTTCAACGACACTCGACCTCACTCAATAGCCCACCGCAAGTGTACGCTGATTGGTCGGTTCATTTGTTATGTCGATGGCCGGCAAATTAGTGTTATGACGCACTCTGTTGATAACTTAATGACGTCTCTTTGACAGGCGGAGACGATTCACAATCCTTTGCGCGCCGCCTTAGAGTTCGCATACAGGCTTGGCAAGCAGCTGGTTGACCAAGATCTCGCGCTATCTTCAAACCCTTCGTAATCTTCGCAAGTCCTTTAAAACCAGCCGATATTTGCCCAGAAGTATTCTTCATAATCTAGCGAGTGTGTAGGTATAAATTTTGTCGATATTCTCTGAATAGTTTGATCATAATTAACCGTGAAGTTTAAACTGTTCCTGGTGATTATCGGGCCGACATGTTCTTTCTACGCAGCCAGCTTCCGCAAGGGGACTATGAACGAGATTAAGAAGCTCAAATGTGGTGCTTTTATCAGCGGAAATGCTTACTCGACTAGAGGGGATATTTTTGCTGAGAACTCGATCCGGCTACATATGACAAGCTTCTTGAGAACAGAGGAAAACGGAAAGTGTCTCTCAGGGCCACCGGCTGCCTGTACAGACCGCAGCATCTGTGACAGTCACTGCCCTCTTAGTGTTAATCAAATCGTTCATAGATTTACGTATCACGTGTGCTAATTTAGCTGCCCTAGCCTCCTGTTTTGATGTGGGCAACTCAAGGACTTCACACTACACACATAGGTTGCCTATTTTTTTAAACCCTTCAGACGCGATCACAATTCCTTTTCTTGCGGGCGGAATTTCTCGCGGCACGAGGCTTAGATATAGTGTAGGTGTTAATGTATATTTCCCTGCACTACCACTGACGGGGAAGTGACCAGATTTGTTGATTAAGCCCTCTGTGTTTGATTTCCAGGTTACCTAAATAGAGTTGGGGATGATGTCAGAACAGGGAGCTGTGAGTGCGTCCTCCAGTTCGTCTTCGTCTGAAACAGATAGAAGATCGCAGGAGAGCTGTACAGGAAAGCGATCTTCTCGCGGCAAAGCAGCTAGCCCTCGCCCTCTAAAGTCAATCTCCAATTCTGCCAAGAGGTAGGAAAAGATAGAATAAACGTAGTCAGGTGGCTGAATGTAAAGACCACGCTGGGTAGCAGCCAAGCTTGATCTTTACAAATGAAATTAAGCGCACGATATAAAAGGGACAGATTCAGTTTGTCTCTAATTTGCATGTTAACTTTGCCACGGCGCTATTCTGCACTCTTTCGCCAGCAGGCCCGACAAATGGGTTTAATGAACAGAGGGGGACGTAATTCACCTTTTCCAGGGGTCTAAAGCTTAGTGTCTTCCAATTATAGACAGAGCTATCGCGATGACCGAAACAGACAGGTCGTGGGTTTTGAACGAGTCCCTCATGCTCATTAGCATATGCACTGAAGAGCGATTGCCTTTGTGAATGAAGTACCGGCAATATTGACTTGTTTAGACTGTTTAAATGTACTTCTTTTCTTTCAGAATTCAGCGAGAGTTAGCCGAGATCTCCTTGGACCCTCCGCCAAATTGCAGGTAAATTCTCCGCTTCGAATATCACGCTGAACTCCTTCACTTCTTGTTTGGACTGAAAACAATAGAATTGCGGTTTTTGTTTCCTGAATAGCCGGCCTGTTATTAAAATTGAACTCTCTTTATGTTATATAGATCAACTATTTCGGAAGCGAGTATATTTTGCCCCAAAACTGTCAAGTCGGCCACACTAGTCATCAAATATTCCTCCAATTAGGAATTTTCTGCGAACATGATATACATAGATAAATTATTTATTTAAAAGGGGTAAAGACGACATTTAATCGCTCCACGTGGGAGTAAAATGTGTAAAAGACTCATTGTTTTTCTTTATGGTTCAGTCATGCTAAGACTTGCCATGCATGAATAGCCGTCAAGCTACCCTTGGCTTCAAGGTTCTTGTACGAAAACAGAGACCTCGCTTGGTCGCGACTCTTTTCTCGCCATCATTTTGTAATGTCTGCTCTAATTGCAGTAACGGCATAATCGATATATTTAACTGGCGAAGTAGCAAGCCTTCCTGGGTACTCAATTGTTGATATTATACCTGATATACTTTATGTAAATCAACAGATTCACGTCAGCTGTAGGCAGGTCAGACAGATATTAAGGTCGTTTTTGTCAGAAAGATTGAGCTCTTTTTAACTTCTATGATTTTAATTATTCATCTTGTTTTGACGTTATGGTATATTACCAATACCGTACGGAATTTTCATAACACGAAGTAAGGTCTGAGTAAGATGACCGGGGTATTAAAACAAAAATGAAAAATCGTTGTCCTTGCTTTCTGTCGTACGCCAATTTTTGCCTTTGATTTTACTGAAATCTTTTTCCGGTTCTAGCTTCAGAAGACGTATTTTTAATGTCAATTCTGTAGGTTGTTTACCACGGTAGATATCAAGCAAATATTGAGATTCGCTCTGGCAGACTGCTATTTATTTAAATAAGAGCTTAGGAAAATTGAATTTTTAAAAGGGCACCCAAAAATACGTAAATTATGACAAACATATGACCATGAAAATCAAAGCGTGTCGATCACAAGTGCTTATTTTGTGAAGGGTCGTATGATATTCGAGGCATTTTTAAGTAAAAATGATATTCGACTTAAAGTGAAAAGTAAAGTTTTTAAAAGGTTAATCAAATGATTAAACATATCATATGTTCTATAATATATCATCTTTGATAAATTCCAAACGGTTTGTTATTCAGAACTATTTTACACCAGGAAGTTCAACAATTGTCTACGAAACAAACCAACTGCAACCTAAGTTAACTTGGTCCAATATTTCATTTTGAAAACAAAGCTGTTACTTTGACGAGCTATGACTAAAAATAATTGCACCTATAAAACGTTGCTACAGTACAAACTACTAAAGTTATAGAATGGAACTATGACTATAGTATAAATCTATAGTTGTATCATAAAATCTGACAGTAAATAATATAAAATAAAGTATTGCTGTGCAATATAAGGATTACTTACTTGTGACGGATATATGGCGTTTTGAATTAATGGCAAAAATACTTAAAATGCCTCAAAAAATAGAGCAGAGTAAACAAATAGCTGTTACCTTAACTATAGCGTAAGGAAAGTCGGAAAGGCCGGTTGTGTCGTTTATTCCGGGACCGGCAAGTTTTCTTTCCTTCTTTAACAAGTTTCCAAAAAAACCCTGATCAATATAGTGCTAATTAATATAAATAGAAAGCTACTTAAAATACTTCAAATAACAAAACGATGTAAATAGCTGGCATCTTTTTGGCGGGTTTATCACTTAGTCAAACTCTTCAGCGATTACCGGTATGTTCATTGTTTTATAAACTCAAAGTCGTAATAGCTTAAATCATTTTTGACTGGGCCGAGTCTGTTCTGCCCTTCACTTTGACATGCTTATTCTTTGACCGTTCTATTTTTTACCGTCAGGATCTATTTTTTTCCGTTAATAATACCATTAGTTCACCCGCTGTAACACTAAGGTTCCTTCACCTGGCTAATTTTGGCCCTCAGGGTCCAGATGTAATGGGTTCGCGTGTAGCTCATCAGGCAGAATTTTGGAGACTTTGTGTTCAGAAAAAGTTACTGAAACGGATGATCCTAGTGTAAAAAAAGGGCCTTCTTAGTCACACTTTCGGGGTGTAAAAGGGGCTTTGTCAGGATATCTGCTATCTTTTTAAAAGCCAAATCAGTTTTTATTTTTGTATCAATTGAATTAAAAAAATAATGATCCAGTTTTGTTATTGAAGACTATATTTAGGCCTTGAAATTGTTTCCTGTCGTCTGTTGTTAGGATGGCAAGAATATACATGGATTAAAAATTGAACAATGTCGCCCAACTTTTTCAAGTTTAATGCTATATGCCTGCTCCGGGGGGGGACTCCGCATGTGAAAGGGGTGGGGATGCTAGTCGTCTCGCTTAGGGGTGTAAATCTCGGATTTTGGTCTCAGTTAGGGTGTTCTGGGCAAAACGCTATTATATTTAGCCGTGAAGGTCTCGTTTAGGGTTGCACGCGAAAAAATATAAAAATATATATTTGATATGTATATTTTTAATGCGTTTTATTTACCCCATTCATATAATCCAAGGTTTCTCATTTTCTCCTTATAGGGGTCAAGAAAAGCTTGGGCCACGCCCAGATCGGTCTCCTTTTGGGGTTTAATTCAAAATTTCCGACGAGCATCCCCACCCCTTTCATATGCGGAGTCCCCCCCGGATGCCTGCACAAATCACCAAAATTATTTGGTATCTTTTTCGTATCTCCAAAGGAACATTTTGTGCAAAGGAAAAGGCACTAAGCCATGACTTCCGCACAGAGCTCAAAACAGCAATATCCTCGTTGGACTTTCAAAAAAGTCCTTCGTCGCTTCGCGGCCTAAAAAGCTCGCTCCGCTCGCTAAGAAACTCGTGAGGTCGACTTGTAGCAAGTCTATATCCTCGTGACATCGGCTCCTATGAGGGTATGTCTAACTTGCGTCTACATTGGGAAAAGAAAATCGCACGGTTCGGTGTACCTTAAATGGACAAAATTATGGCTGCCTTGGTCTCTAGAAATAGGAACAGAAACGATCTTGGTTTTAAAATGGGTTTTTTGTGTCACTTAGGGGGATTTTGAGAGTGTGTCTATAAAACTGAGTCTAGATTGGGAAAGGAAAATGGAAGTGGTGGCTTTGCTGATTCAAATTGGGAAGGGGAAAAATTATAGATTTGATCGGTATTCTGGGACGCTTCCGCTTTCGTCTGGGTGTCAATAAACAAGTTGCCAAATAGAAACCTGATAAATATTTCAGTGATTAAGATAAATCCGTTGACAATTGAGCCTGGAGTAATGTGACGTTACTTTGATTTTGAATTGCTTCGTTTTGTGATAATTTCGTTTTGTGATAACATCGCTCCTTGTGTTTCTTTTTTACTGTAATGTCGGCTTGCGCAAAAGAGAAGCGAGGTTTTCGAAGAGTAAGTAATAGCGAATCAACCATAAGGTGCTTGCACATTTCAGCTTATCGGATTGTCTGCGTCGAGTGTGATTGAGAGCCTATTGAGTTTTGAACTCTTATTTTTGAGTTGTTCCTTTCTCACTGCATTTTAGTCACGATTACATCCCAGCAGGGGGGTGTGGAGTGATGGGGGATTCCAATTGTTCAGCCGATATCCCGTTTTACGGTTTCGGACCCAAGGCCATTCCTGCAGTCAGAAATATCTAAACTACGTAATGGTTTATGGTTGTCGCCCAAAATGTTTCGTTACTTTTCTTTATGATTCTTAAAGCTGTCACATCCAGTCAAGTAAAGTTACTTAGACACGTAATTTTAACTATGCCGTTTTGAGCTTTGAGTCTGAGGACAAAATCCTATCGTGTTACCATTCAAATGAAACCCCTTCGATTCAGCAGTACTTTCACGGCATGGTACTAAATATTTAGTACGTAGTTCTGACTTTTGAATCTTTGGATGAAATCCTGTGGTGTTACCTTTCAAATAAAACTCTTCAGCAGTACTTTCAAGTGGTAACATCCACTTCGGATGTAGTTTTATAAACTTTTGAGTCTGTGGACGAAATCCCATCGTGTTACCATTCAAATGAAACCTCTTCAGCTGTACTTTCATTGCATAGTACCAGGAGCCAATCGGCTCCTGATGGTACCCTCTATTTTAAAGTGGGTGTTTCCAACTTTTGAGTCTGTAGACAACGCTGTTACGTGACTATTCAAATAAAACCTCTTGAACAGCACTCTCAAATATTACTTGTTGTTCTCTGTATTTTTCAACATTAAGCCTGAAAATTTTCTTTAACTCGCAGGGAGTACAAGGATTAATTCACGTTTTCATTTGTTCACAGCGCGGGTCCCAAAGGCGACAATCTTTACGAGTGGTGCTCCACGATTCTGGGTCCTGAGAAATCTGTGTACGAAGGTGGAGTGTTCTACCTTGATATTTCTTTTCCTATGGATTATCCTTTCAAACCTCCAAAGGTAAGTCAAAATTTAGGGTAGATCGGAGAGTGCGTATTCCGGAATAGAAGTAGCCTACGCGCGAGCAAGCTCTCCATTGCGAGTGGCGGGCGAACGCGCGTTTCCTTTCGCGTGCGGCCGGCTCTCGCATGACTTCTCGCGACTCCCCCCAAAAGGAGGGCTTGCACGCAGGTTAGAATAGAAAAAACGCAGAAACTATGATAGAAATCTCTTATACCGCGAATTCTAGGCCACTTCAGTGCTAATATTTTATTTCAACAATATTTGATTCAATCAATGCCAAAACTAGTGATTTCTAAAGTTAATTCCGTTTTCCTTTTACTACGGCCGGATAGGGTCAATCGATCTTACCCTCCGGTTTATAGAATTTTAATCTTCGGCGGGGTCGCTACCCTGCCTGCAGAGGCCTCTTTTCCCTTGTCATTCGCTGGGTAGGCAGGAAGAAAAGAGAGTCTCTTATCCTCATTGCCTGCCCCATACTCTTTCGCATAAATGTCAGGTTTTGACGATCAAAACCGCCCGGTCCATCCCAGGCAACAGCTACCTACAATTTACCTGGCCTGTTGCAATTTGTGCGATAATAAATGTTATTCCAAATTACCTGACTGGATTCGCGTTGTTTAAGTTAGAATTCTCACCTTTGAGCTGTTTCTGGATTTGATACGTCTGAGAAAATTAGAATATAATGTGCGTTCGTTGTGTAGTTTGTCACACGTTTTTGTCATGCATCAGTTTTGAAATGATGATGATTCGGCTAAAAATACACGTTCAGCTGATTTGTGAAAGATCATGGGATAAATTACAACCCATAGACGAAACACGTAAAGTCCAAAAATATATTGACTTCTCTCTGCGTGGATAATTCGATGCCGAAAAATAACACGACCTTTTAACAGGATTAACTGAATTCTTCAACTGAGATTAAATTGATTCGTTTCGGCGTCACTGAAGACAGAGGATTTTTTTTCAAAACCTTAATACAAGTGTTTCCGGCCGATCATCCGGCTTTAATGTATTTGATAACCCCTGGTATTAATTTACGACCGAAGGGAATACTGCCCTTTCTAATACCTTTCTCACACTTTTCGGAGGATATCGAAAGAAAAACAAACGAGCAATTTGCAGCTCTATATAAAAGTGCTCTTGTTTCCTGAAACCTTAACCATCGGGGTCCTTGTTCAAGAGCCGATTTACAGTAATAAAGGATCGAAACTTAGCAGATAATCATCGGACAATCACTCTTTCGAACTCTTAAGATTGCCAGCAATTAGAATATGATGACAAATGAAAATAAGTACCCCAAAATTTCGTTTTTGTCCGCTAAACCCAGGATTGAAACACGGCTGTCATCCATGTGACAAATAAAGGAATTGTCCCAATTTTTTTTTTTTTTAAATATTACAAAATAGATCAGTGACACTATGTCAAAAGGGCTCTGAAGAGTCAAACCTTAGTTTTTTGTCTAGCCAATGTACAGCCATCTACTCCCTTCAGGGAGGGGGGAGGGGTATCGGTGCACATATGCAGGCCAAATCTATACTTTGTATTTGTTTTAGCCCCTTGCGAAGGTTTATGTTTCAAACCGAAATGTCGTGTACAGAAAATATAAACTTTATCATTTTCTTCTTCTTCTTCTTCTTCTCTTCGGCGTAAGGATTAGTTTAGATGCTTTTTCTACAATTTTGTTGGACTTCAGAGAATCTCAGATTCTCGCTCTCTTTGTTGCCCACTTCAGCGTCTTTCTTTCGCATGAAATTGTGGGTGGCTAACTTTTAAGGAAAGGGACAAATTTAGTCAGCAAAGAGTAGGTAAATAGCGAATGTTCCAAGTGGAACGAAAACGACTAAAGTGATCGTCAAAGGGTTAAAGTTAAAGTTTCTACAGACGCGAAACTTAAAATTACATGTTGGTTGTCTACTATTTACATGGACGAACCGGTCGGTTCACGGTTTGGGCATTGTGGTACGCAAAATTCAGGACTTGTAGCCCAGGAATTGGGTTTACCATTTGAACAAATCAGTTCCATTTACCGAAAAACGACCGTGAACGCCTGGAACTGGCATCAAAGATGGCTTTGACGAATGGTACACGAATTTGCGTTTCAATATTCCGTTCGGAAAAACAGCACTACCTTTTCAGGTGTTCCGTTGCTCCCGGACATTTCCCTCTGGAACAACCCAAAAAGTCGTGTTCCATTTACTTTCCGACCCGACTTCCGGAAACTTTTTAAATAGTATTTTCGCAAATTATTAAATGGTATTTTCGCTTGCTTGCGTGCTTGCTTGCTTGCTTGGGTGAGCATACGCGTTTGCTTGTTTGAATGTAACAACGTATTGTAACAGTTTTAGCCAAACTGAAGAGGTTTGAATAAACGAGACTTGTCTTAAGGCTAAAATAAAGGCTAGTGCGTGAAAGACTATTCGTGAAACTCAGTACAATAGTTATGAGGATTATCGCAAATTAAGTGTTTGTTGTTTTTGCTGCACATAGGTGTCTTTCCGCACAAGAATATACCACTGCAATATTAACAGCCAGGTCAGTGAAATTAATTAAAATCTTATTTGTTTACATATGATAGGATGAAGTTATTTGACCATAACTGCACTGATTCTCCGTTTTGTTTTTTCTTCCTTGTTGAAACGAGGACTGTTGATAACAAGGGTTCACTAGGAATAAGCTCTCTTCTGTTCTTCTGTGTCGGCCCGGGGGTCCGTTATCTCTTCTTTCAATTTTTGTCCTATTGCCCTCGCTCTTGGTAAATGCCGTAAACTTTCAAGGAACAACCAGACCATTCTCTAGTTCGTTTAAAGGAAAACGTATTAAGCGCCCTCTTTCGAATAAGCCCCATCCTTTAAGCTGAAATTTAAAAAAAAGCGCACGGGCGCTTATTCGAGGAAAGACGGTATGCAGATAAAATCAATGACGATTAAACCAACAAATAGCAGAAGGGATGCAGTGACAAACGAGTTGACAGTCTGTGGTTAAAAGTGTTCTTAGCTCCAAACGCTTGTACCTTTTAGGGTGTAATTTGCTTGGACATTCTCAAAGACAGCTGGAGTCCAGCCCTCACCATTTCTAAAGTTCTTCTCTCAGTTTGCTCGCTTCTCACAGACTGCAATCCAGGTAACTACTTTACAAAAACTGTACATAATTTCGTGAGCACTGGAACGATTGGACTGAGCTATCTCAGTGATTTTGTTACAAATAGTCATGGTGAGATCCTGGGACTCATCTTGTGATAATCATGAGTCCCAGTCCAGAACTGAAGGTAAATTTAAGGGGTAAATCCATAGCCAGCCTTACAGTCCCGGTCATTTCTTTAACCGGTCAGTCGGTAGAGCGCTGGCTACTGCAGAATGGGAGGTTGCGGGCTCGATATCCGGGGCCTGACCGATTACTCAAAGGTTTAAAAGAATTTGGAAGAAGGTACTGTCTTTGCCCCGGAAACGGCGAAACCTTCACGTGGCTCGGATGGACACGTAGAAATGGCGATCCTGTCTCCATTCGGACACGTAAAAATAGTGCCCTCAATTATAGTCCTTGCTGCTAGAAACAAAAATTAATCGAGGTAGTTTTTTTGTTTATTTATATGTAGGTGATCCCCTAGTCGGCAGCATTGCAACTCAATATGTAAACGATAGAGAGGAACATGATAAGACAGCACAGGAATGGACAAAGCGATACGCAACATGACAATGGTACAGCAGCCAGTAATGTAATAAAATAATTTTTCCAAACCCTTTTACTTCGGAAAGTGATGTGAGAAAATCCAAATTTTAATTTGTAAAATAATTTAAAGAACTCAAAGTAATGCAAAAGAGGTCAGTTTCACTTGATAGTCACACCATAGGATTTTGTTCACAGACTTAATAATTAGAACCAACTCGTACACTGTAACGAAAAGGAGAACATGACTAAAACCTTCAATAGTACTGTATAATAAACAGAAGCACAGAAGAGTACTGCAAAAGAAGTATTCAATTTGAATGGCCTCGCCATAGTATTTTCATTCACAGACTCGTTAGCTAGGAGTACTTTGCACGTCTCCACAGTCATACTTTAGAAGTGGAAGGGTTAATCTTATATTTTGTACCATGTCAAAGAAAATGAGTCATAAAGATGAAGGGAAAACGCTTGTAAAATATCACATAGGTAGTGCCAACTTGGGAGTGACTGATCTGCACGAAAGCTATAGACCTTCTTTAAAAGATTAACCAAATTATTCCACATTCTAGGCAATATCGAGCATTACTTCCTGGTCAATAACTTTCACTTATTTTTTCATACAGCGTATCAAGGTTTGCCTGCGAACGCAGACGTATTTCCGGTCGTGGATAATCTTCTTTGCTGTTTTTGGTTGTTATTGTTGTTGTTGTTTGTTTTGTTGTTTTTCTGTCGCTTCTCTTGGCCACACAACCGGAGATACATCTGCGTTCAGGTTACAGCGCGGTTTGCGAGCACGATTTTCATATTTAATTATTGCACAGCCTGATTACAGTCGATCCTTCGTTAACGGGAAAATCCATGACACGGATAACTCAATTTTAAAGCAAAGAGGTGGGAACGGGTCACTGTCGTTCTTCAGTGGACAGCTACGACGTAGTTCCCATTCTCGTCCCCAGGGTCTTCTCGTTTGCCAATATGGCGTCGGCGGATGTAAACAAATCAGAGCGCATGTGTACATGCACCAGGAAACGCACCAATCAGCGACAGTTTTAGTTCGCTGTGTGCCAAGGTCTTCTCTCCTGCCGCCACCATATTGGAAAACGAGAAGAACCTGGGGACGGGTCAACCTAATCCCCAGTCTTCACCAGGAAGCGCGGCCCATGCGTTTCGGGTCTTGTGGTCTCCCTACGGTTCATCTTGGATCTCGGGTGCTCCACCGAAATGCATTGATCGAAAAGGTCTGGCAGGACTCCGTTATAAAAGTGACTGGGCAAGATACTCACCATTTACACGACAAAAACCGGTAATTCTGGTTGGAAAATCAAATAGTTCGCGCTATTCCTCTTGGCGGAAAGCCTCAGAAAATGCCGGCTTGGCGTGAGACAATTTTTCTTCTCTTGTCAGTCTCTCCAGATGACCTGGATAAAAATTGTAGCGTTTCTTTCTCCTACAAGGTCAAATCTAATTGTTAACTCAGTTTTTATGCACGAGATCTCCAACCAGATAGTTTGTGTAAATGATTAGTAACCATGAGCGCGATGAAGGCAAATGGGTCGCTCTTGTATCTGAATAGTTTTTCATGGACTCCAACGACATAGATTGGCGTTGCATGACGCATGATTGACAATAAGAAAATGGCCCAATGGGCTAATGTATTATCATATTTACTAAAATGTTATTAGAGATATTTTTTGTTTCAATATGTGTAAAACAAAAGTAGCTAAAGAGGAATATTCTTCTTTGCCGTAAAGGAGAAATATATAAAAAAAAGTGGGAGTGAAGTTCCCTTTTACAGCAGACGTATCAGTATCACTGGGCTTGTACACTCGACATATTTATTGCTGATCTCTATTTGCACTTTAGGGAAACAAGCCGTGATTAACTTTTTTCATTACTTTTATAATTTATTGCTTGACTAGTTCCATTTAATCATCTCGATCGGCTGATTCATCTATCATGATCAAGATCGCCATCAATGGATATATCTCTTTGATGCAAGGCGGGAGCAATTTGGCCTCAGCTGTTAAAGGCTGGATAGCGTTATCCATCAGGCCCCAGTAGTTCAAAAGCTGGATAGCGCTATCCATCGGATAAATCACGATCACTAACCAGTGGATACGTATTAGGGAAACCAATTGCACTATCCACTGGATAGCGCTATTCACCTTTTGAACAACTGGCGCCAGATAAACCTCTTGCATGTTGCGTCCGTTTCCACACCCTGTGGCATGTTGTTGCGTGTTGTTAGTAGTTGTCGCGTCCGTTTGCATGTGCTAAACGTTTGACTGGTTTTAAACTTTGTGCAACAACACGCAACAACATGCCACAGGCCCGTTGTTTAAACGGACGCAACATGTAACATGCAACAATGTTGGGAGTTCTTGGCGAACAATGTTGTGTCCGGTTCCATGGGGCTTAAAACAGCCATATCCTTGTGACACCGCCTCTATAGTACTATCTGACCTTTAAACAACTGGGGCCTGGACGATTAGGGTGATCATAACCTAATGGGGTCGTTTAACCCGGGGGTACTCAACAAATTTTTATACGGGGAGGCTCCGCCCCGAGATCCAACCTCTTACCCTTTTATATACTTGTTTTTTGGACAGAAAAGGTACCCCTTTCGTATACCTTTCATTGACAAATGATACCCCTTTCATGTACTTAGCTTAGAACTTTGCATTCCTTTTAACTGCTGTAAATACACTTTCTTTTAAACATGAATAAATCACATAACTAGCAAATTTTCTCGATTTTTTCACAGCCATAAAATCCTTCTGCATCCCTTTTTTGTCACTTTAAAGACCGACATGACAGATGTCCCCACCATTTCATATACCTGAGGTCTGAGAAAGGTACCCCATTCGGGCGGAGCCTCCCCGTATCGGCCATTTTAGGGAGTACCCCCACCCCCCCCGAGTCATTAAGTTTAGTTTATGAATAACATTACCAGTCAGATGGCGCAATGTGAATGCTAGTTAATCCTAGATTATTCGACCTTTTCCAGTTGCTGTGGGCTTTCGTGAAAGTAAATGAAGTTGTAATAAATGTATATAAAGCTATTACTATCAAAGTAAAAAATGAATTTAATAAGACTAACTTCTAAAACTTGTAATAAAATACAATTTGAAGGAAAAGTCTGAATGGAAATGAAACTAAATATCTGCAATTGAAAGCGGGGAATTTTGAATTCCTACCGATAATTTCTTAGACATGGCAAGGGCAGTATTAGAGGATACCGAGGGTCCCCCCCCCTTTCTCACTGTCCGACAATTTTAATGTTTATTAAAATGGATAACTCGATCGAAGGCGTATTGACAAAGATAGCAAACGGTTGCAGAAAAGTGGCATTAAGGTGGCTGAACACAGTTTGTTACGTTGTGAGTCGTTACTATTCATTGGGGTGTTATTCAAGACTCGTTGCCGGTATAAAGCTCAAGCTTTCGATCTTTACCATGGCAACATGGATGGACGGTTTGAAACAAGCCTAAAATTGTGAATTCAGTAGGTGTCGGCAAAATCCAGACAATATATTTTTTTATGAATTTGTACACAGGTTAGAATAAATATTCCTCAATTAGCAAAAACTGAACTTTGCTGCCTTAACTTTGATTCTCAAAGAGAGTGAGTGAGGAAGAAAATGAAATATAGCGATCAGAGGAGCCCATTCGCCATAGGAAAATGGGAAAAGACGGGTTTTTACAAGGGAAGGAAGTTACGTAGATATGGCGATCGCGTTGAATCGTACATGAATTATATATGACAACCAGATTGCTAAATGAAAATGTGTAAAATCCGAAAGAGAACCGAAATTTAGCAATTCATTTGTAGGGTGTAAACGACAACGGAGAAAAGGGTTTTGTGCGTTATACTTTTGTTTCCCTACTAAAATACTTAACCTTATGCTCCATTTTTCCCAATAAACTGCTCTCTCGCCTCCCAAAATTCACTAAAATACTTGTCAGGGCTCATCAAAGACTAAGCTATAGACAGCCGGCTGGCTTGAGGCTTTTTTAATTAATTCTCGGCGTTTTAAGAGGGTTTGAGGCTAACAAAAATGTGTAAATGCTATGAAAACAATGTATTTAGCTTAAATACAGCAAAAACTGATCCTATACAAGGCTGTGTAAGGGTCAAATTTGAATATTTTCAATCCTTATTTTCTGTGAGAAAAAAAAACTAATTTTCTGGAAAAATGCCACTAAAATGCCTGAATAATGCTTAATGCTTTTGCCTCACACAAATGTTAAAAAACGCAAGCGTAATGTACAAAAGCCTAAAAGACATCGAAAATAGAACGGTAATAATTGAGGGGTGAGTTCAGTGTAATAAAAGGATCGCCTGCCAGATTATTCATTTGAAAAGGTGTCAAATTAAAAGATCGGCGACTTTTGTGAAAAAATTGTTCGATTAACTTCAGTCATCTTGTTGATCTGATAATAACGTGTTAATATACCCTTATGAAGCACAAAAAATTCATTCATTTGGCTATCCTAGCCTGTTTCTTAACAAACACCTTTCTGTGACCCTGATTTACATTGCAGCACCTGCCTCGTACCCAAATGTCTCTCTCTCGATGAAAATTTGCGCGCAAAAGGAGGCGGGAGATCACCAGTCTCTCGCTTATTACTTGCGTGCCACTCGCGTTTCGCGCTCACCCCAGTGCGAAAAATGTTCAAAGCGTTTAAGGAGGCAGGTGCCGCACAATTACAACCCACCTACCCCTCCCCTAAGCCAACATCTTGCCCTAAGTGAGCAATAAGTGTTAATGTTGACTTAGGAGAGGGGTAGGTGGACTCCAAAAACCTGCATTGATCCAGAACGTCTTTAAAATACAACCAGTAAACAAAATACAAAATAATTCAACTGTTTTTTTCAGTTTTACTTATCTTGCTAATACCACACAGATTTTGGAGTCAACTGTTCTTTATCGTTTATAATCTTGGTTAGGGCTTTGATTCCAGTAAGAAGCACCTTTCCAGACGCCAGGTAACCAAAATTGAACACCCTGTATATCCAAAACCTCGAAAACCATACCCTGTCGGTAGCGCGATTTAATAGGGGGCTTAAGCAACAACGACAGCGACGGTTACCTAAACGTCACTTATTAAAGAGTGAATTCGCGCTGCCTCAAACTTTATCGCGCTTATTCCATCTCGATTAATCGTCAAATGTTTTGGCAAATTTCTTTGGAGTTAAATTCAGCTAAAGGGTTGTATCAAAGTTCAGGAAAAGAAAAAGAAAACTGTTGCTTTGTGTTCCCGCTGATATACCGACAAAACGTGAAATTAGGTACTTGTTGTAGTCGTGCAACGACGGCTTAGAAATGAACAAAAAAAAAAGCGTGATGCACGTGTAGAGTTGTTATTTTGCCACGTAACACGTAGTAATCAAGGTTCCTGAGCGCAGGTCAGATTGCCCAGAACCAAAAACTTTCAAAAACGTTTTTCCACAAAAAAACACGTCGTAATACCTATGACGAGGGGAAGAGATAAGCGACTGACCTGGCCTTAAGGATTTGGCGCTTTCATGGTGAATCGGTGTGCGGTTCTTTGATGCGGGAGAGATTTGTGAGTTGAGACTACTACATATAGTCACCTACCTTGCTTCGCTTTATGCAGGAAAACAACACCGAACAAACAACGAACCGCGAAACGGTATAAAATGGCCTCGAATTGAGCCCAAGTTACACAGAAAAAGCAACAGCAGGCCCAAGTTGACGTAAGTACAATTTATTTCTATATTTATGCCTATATTTCTACGTTTTTATCAACTACGTTGAATTTCTCATGTAAAGTCTTTAAATCGTTCGTAATATGCAAAACAGTATCGAAATTCGCGGTAATTTATGCACCGAGTTTGGGTCGCCTGTGTCTATACCTATTGGTTTTTTCACGTTGTCGTTGCCGTCCCTGTCGTCGTTGCTTAAACTCCATAAAGTTTTAATGCGCAGCTTCAACTTGATCGACACAAAGCGAGCTTTTTAATGCAGCAAAATGTTGCCACCACAAGTTGTGAAAAAAATCGTCCGGGCGCTATTTCAATGTCACCCCAACGACACAAACCTTTCAGCTCTGAACCTGTAAACCAGATCTAGCTTTTGAGCCTTGATTTAAATAAAAATCCTATGATGTGACTAATCAGGCCTCTTCCACATGTATCCGGAGTCACTGAGTAATTTTTTCAGTCTCCGCCAGTTTAATTTTCAAAACTAAAATACGCGTCCACACGTAGCGTATTTGAATCGCTCGCGCCCGTCTACATGAAAACGCTAAAACGATAGAAACACGTTCCGATTGCAACCCTTACAGAGTATGCGTAATGCCAGGAGCATATGATGTAAACCATTATCGGAATCGTAAACTGCCTCCGTTTTTTAAAAATCTCCGCTCAAGGGACCGCTGTTGTAAACCTGCGTTTTTGGTGCCCGAAAATGCGGTTTGCGTGTGGACGGAAGGCAAAACTGAACGGAGAAAATTAATTCTCGTAGCGGCGGCCTCAAACAAAACCTTTCGAGAAGACACTATCTGTTTTTGGGAGTATTGCCTTGCAGCTTGAGAGTATAATTATACACATCCCTTGTTTTATGACAAGCGACCGAGATAAGGCAATCAACAAACTACTATGATAAAAATCTTTATAAATATACCCCTGCTCAGAAATGAAGATTCTCATTCCGGAGGAAATTTCATATCACAGGCTGTAGAATGTCGCGCGTTTACTCAAAGCTTACGTTTTTCTTGTCGTGACCGCTTAAAATAATTTAAAAGAGGGTGTGAAAGATACACAATCAGTAAATGTACCAGATAATAAGCGGATCGCAAATGCACCTTTGCCCGCGGCGGGTATTTAGTTTTCAAGACTGTTTTGCATGCATAGATGGTTTGGTGATCGATTCTATTTAAAAAGAATATCCAATCGACTGATTAAATATTTATGTGGCTAATTTCTAATCATGCACGAAGTGAGAAATGCAAAGTAATAATCCCCCTCATTCGACAAACTATTTCTTTAAATGCTGCATGTGTGTCAGCTTGCCAGATTCGTTCGCGGAGAAAACCGCTCTGTTTTGAAAACAATCAGCGTGAGTTTTAAACAAATGTCTTGCATTTTGCATCCCTGTGTTCTAACAGAGTTTTCTAATGAACACCGGAAGTTTCAATACCTTAGTCATAACCTCAAAACTTTGCAGTAAAATTACATGCGCTTAATTAAAAACCGTGATCAGTGAATAGACCAGTGGAAAAACGGAGGACGGACAACAATAGGCAATTGACGAAAATTAAAAACTACTTTTTAACGTCAAGATTACAAGCTAATACCCGACAGACTATGGAGCAAAAAACACAAAAACAATTATTATAGATCTGCGTGGGCCAATCGCTTGAGAAACGCTGCAAAACCGTTTAAAAAAAATATATTTAGTTGAAGCGCATCGACCTAAAATCGAAGATGAACAACTCGGTTCGGAACTCCTTTAAAGACCCTACCGCAACAGAAATTCTAACTACCGTATCACCAGAAATGGAATTTCATACACAAAGAATAATCCAACAGGGTATTTACGCAGTTATTTTTTTTCTAAGCATGGTTGGGAACGCAGCAATGTTTGCGGTTTTGTTGAAAGGACGTCGCCTTTGCTCCAGCAAAAACGTTCTTCTTATGAACATGATACTGGCCGAGTCCCTCGTTGCCATGACTTCAATCCCGTTTGACTTTGCTCTGCTGTTTCAAGATGAAGGTTGGGTGTTCGGTTCCTTTATGTGTCATGTTCTTTGGCCGTTGCAAACTGCGCCGTTCGGCGCTCTAGTCCTTACTTTAACAGCCATGAGTGTTCAGAGGTACAAAGGGATTGTTCGTAAACTTCGCAAGAGAAAACCAAGCGTTGACGCGTCGTATTGTACCGTGGCGAGTATTTGGGTTTTCTCAGTAATCATAGTCATACCATTCGGCGTGTTTTTGCGTCTGGAAGACGGTAAATGCTCTGAAACTTGGGGGAAAATTGGCAGTCAAGTGTATACCGTTGTACTGTTTGCGTTCCATTACGCCATTCCGCTAACTGTCATCACGTATTGTTACGCGCGCATTGCCAACCGTATCCGCCGTGGTCATGAAGAAGGACACAGTATCATTTCAGGAACACGTCAAGCGCGTCTAAAGCGCTCCAGACGCCACGTTCGCGCCGTGCGTATGGTGATCTTATTTGTTGTTGTATTTGCAATATGCATGCTGCCGCATCAAGTCGTGTGGCTGTGGATGACCTTCGGTGACAACGTGGAACATTCAAGCAGCTTCCTGACATTTGCTTACATGTTTACCTTTACAAGTAGCGTTGTTAACCCGCTGGTTTACTTCACGCACAATCCTGCCCTAAGAGCACGACTTTTTGCTATTGTTACCTGCCGTTCATTACCTCGGATCCCGTCATTTAGACGCAGCAGTATTTTCGGAAGTAGTGATTCCTCACACGATTGTAGAGTATAG